GAAGGGCACCATCCAGGGAGCCCAATTCGTCAAGACCAAGAGCTTCCTGCAGGTAGTCGGTGTTGGGGATCTTACCAAGATCAACATCCTAGCAGGCGATGACGGCGGCGAATTAGACCCCCACGGAGCCTTAGAGATCGGTAACCCAGTCGGCGGCCTCGTCCTCACCCGCTCTTTCGATGGAACGTGGCGTCACGCCAAGGAGTGGACGCAATTTGTTTCGGACAAGGAGTTCTGCTTCCGCGCTTGCCACGGTCCTCTAAGAGCTCAATACTGCGAGCACATTTACGACCTTGAGGGATGTGCTTGGAACATGCCGTCCTTAAATGGTTACGAAGCCGGCAAATTCGAACAGTGCGAGGGTGATGAGGGAGAACTGTGAGTAGCGCCAGTGCGCCGGCATCGCAGCTCGTGTCATTGCATCTCTGACGTCCTGAGTTTCTCCTGCCTGTCCATTCATCCAGACCTGGAGTGAGTTAGCGATGTCGGACAGACAGTCTTGCTGCATACTAACCTTTATCGCCTTCCCTCAGGTGTATGACGGTGTCAAGTGGCGCCGCGAATCCGGCATTGCCACACCCGATCCTCATCCAGCACCAGCCGTCTACAATTGTCGCCAAAAGACTACTCTCGGCTACGGCAAGCCGGCCAGTGAGTCGTCTTTCGTCTTGCGCAGATTACTTGAATGAGAGCTGCGAGCTGACAACCAGCACTTTGAACATCTTGCGCGTTCTTTCAGAGGTTATTCCTGGTCAGCCAAGCCAGCGCAGTTTCGGTGACGACGAAAACGACGACGATCTGTTGCAGGGCCGCGTCTTCTATGCGCGTGACTAGGCGTGCAATTGCTCTTCATTCTCGTCCCTCATGCCAATCTCGTCTCGGCTCATTAACGCTCCCATTCCATGCGCGATGCGTAATGCGGCGTTCTGAACAATCGAACAATGTTGCTCCTTAGAAATCGGCTTGAGAAAGCGCCTCACCTCGTGCGATGCACTGCGTGCTACACGTTTGAATAGAATGGCATAAAATCTACAGAGGAGCTACGTTGGGAGCTGGAGAGAGCCTTTCGCCTGTTCACTCTCCGCGCTGACCTCCATTCTGCGTGATCGGAGCAATCTTCGCGTGACGTAGTAGGCTACAACGCATGATGCGAAGACACCCACAATGCCAGCCCCAATGTATCCTGAATTATCATTAGCTCTTCTCCAGGCACTGTGCAGAGGCGGTCCAGGTTCACAAATGGATAGTAGACATCATCAGTATCCTGATCCGTGCAATCGTAAAGCGCCCGCGAACTCGCGAAACTCACAGCCACCATCTGCCCTCGAGCCCTGCGTCTCCCGTCTCATCCTGCTTGTCCGCAGCTCGTGAGCATCTGGCACACTCGTCACCGATCAGACCAATCAGCACAATGATGGAGATTGCAGCCTGAGGGAAGAAAGCAGAGCGCACGTCAGCATTGTGCCATCTTCTATCTATACGCCGAACAAGACTCACAGCCACGCAAATGGAGAGAAGCGTGAGGGTCATGCTCAGCGTTGTAGCTGTGCTGCTCGTCTGCAAAGCGCCAGCTGGCTGCTGGCCGGCATCGGACGATTCGGTCGTGTTTCTTCGCTCAGACTGTTGTGCGTCATGCCTGCCATTCGGGCTTGACACCACCGCGGTGTCTGTCTCCGCAACGATCTGATCCTGTGCCGTGGGTGGATCGACCCCCTTATCCTCATCTGATGGCGTACTGAGGACTTCCGATCGCTCAAGAAGAGCCCATCTGCTTTGGCCCGGCCTCTTTTGCGCCGGCGAGTAGGCATGGACCATGAGAATGTCTAGTGCACCGTTTCAATGAGCGCGACTCAGGAGTCTGTCAGCCGGTGGGGGGCTTCTCTGCTCAAATTCGGATCGCAGCCCTTCACTCACTGTCTGCACTGTCCACAGCGGCCATGCCGCTGGTGAAGAGTAGAGCGAGCAGGACTACATTTCCGCTCGAACCCGCAACACCACCAGAGCGCTGACTGGCGACGAGCGCTACGCTCAGCAAAGCAATGGTGCTGGCTGTATCAAATCCTATGCCGAAAGCGAGGCCGATAAAGTAGCACTTCCATGGCCTGTCAAGCAGATGCAAGAAAGGCTTGAAGAGCCTGGTCAGGACGCCATTGAAATGAGTGGCGGAATCATGTGCAGCATCTTCGGAAGCATGCAGCTTTGCTGCTTCTTCGTCCATACTGGTCCTCTCTTTGCTCTGGGCAGTCGCCTTGTTGTCAGGTCGCTTCTCATGCTGCTCGGTCAGGGCGACTTTGCGCTTGATCCAGGTCTTTCGCAGGATGAAGCTGTTGATGATGGCGATCAATAGCAGGGTACTGCCGCTCACGCTAGCACCGATGATGCCACCCACGTCTCCAAATGTGTCCAGATGGTCCGCGACCTGCACGCTAATGGCGATGACCACGGTCGTCACAAAGACGACGGTAGAGTGACCGCAGGCGAAGAAGAAGCCTACAGTCACTGGTCGACGAGGTGGTCGGTTGGGCCGGACTGGAGAGGCCATGATGCGGCGGCAAGCATTATCTATCAGTCTGAGGGTGGACCGAGTGGGAAGGCAGAGACGCAGCGAGTTTGGCCGTGTAGTCAGAGAACGCTGATCCAGGAACGAATTGTATCTACTTTTCCACTCACGAGATATGATCTGCATCCAGCCCGTGCCTCAAACCTGTGGTCCAAGCTACCAAAGCCAGGCTCAAAACGCTGCCATTTGCTGCACCCGTCTCAGGCGGACCGGCGGGTCTGCGAGTAACGAGAATAGCGCATACAGTCCAGAGCAAAGCATTGATGCCAAGCAGCACCAAGCCGAGCAACAAAGAGCGACCAAAGAGTGTGAGGGTAAAGTTTGGCAGATCGAGGCTGAGCTTGTTCCTCCAGCTCTGCAAATCTCTCTTCATCGTGATCAATCAAGGCTCGCTTCTGATCTATGATGGAGGTGCGTTGCATCGCCAACTTTCTGTCGTTGAGATGATGGCTGTGCAATCAGCATCACCAAGGTGAGATCAACGAGGCCTGTCGTGTGACCGACCCCAACGCACAAACTTCCAGAAGGAGTGGACGCAGACCAAGCGAAAGTCAAGTGCAGCAGCCATCTGACCGCAGAAATACTCATCAGTCCAGGAAGCTGCTGCTCTGCTGCATTGCATGGCCAGCAACACGCGTCTAGGGCCAACCAAGCACGCTAATGCACGTCGCAACCTTATCTCTGCAGCAAGCCACACTTCAGCTAGGCAAGACTCGTTCGAAGGCGCTAAGCCAGCCTATGTACCGCTAGCCATGCACACCGCTTCCACTACCACTACACTACTCCTAAGCAGCCCGCTTCACCCAGACAGTTAAACGTTTCAACTCAAACGCAAATCTTGAGAGCAAGCATCGAGCAGCAAAGGCAAGTGACCCGTCATTCGTTGGGAGAAACATGAAATTGCGTGACTTTGTGTGATGGATGGGTAACCGTGAGTGCGAGTTTTGGATGTGGAAGAGATCGGAGCGCATGATGCTGGGAAGCTTGATTGTCAATAAAGTTTGTGAGACATCGCTTTGCGAGACGTCGCATCAGCTGCGCGATGAGACTTTCGGAGCGGCTTAGATGTGTCGTGCTTGGTACACGACGACTGGTGCGAAGGGAGGAGGAAGCGTCATAGGTGTGTGTCGCGGATGATATCTGGAAAGTCGCGACAATTGTTCAAAATCAGAGTAGAAACTGATGTCCAGGCGCTGGACTCGAATAAAATAGTCATCGAGGCTTCGATATGCCTAGTGATATGCTCGTTCCAGATGGCCAGCGTATCAAGCGTCAAAGTAGAACAAAGTCTTGCGTCTCGAGGACTGGGGTGTTGTGTGCGTGGCGGGTTCCGCTGCATTTGGCTCCGCAGAGGAGGCTGGGGCCGGTGTGCGGCGACCCGTCATCAACTCCTCCAGATCACCTTCACCCAAGTTCCAGCCTTCGTCGTAGCGATCGTGAGTGACGCGGCCTGGCAGGTTGAGGACGGGATACGTCTTCATGCCCGGTAGTGCTTCGTAGCTCCACGTCCGACCTTGCTGACCGGAACCCGTGCGAGTGTTCTGAGTGGCGGAGCCAGCTCGAGGTCCACCAAGTGCCATGGGGGGAGCTCCCGTTGGACTTGCCACCAGCGGTGTCATGGAGCCACCATTGATGGCTCGCATGGCCAGAACACTACGTGGGCGAGGTGGAGCCAGCGAACTTTGTGAGCCCCTGTAGCCGACGGTGCTCGTCGGTCTAGTGGTGGCGGGGCCTTCATCCGCTCCAGCAAAGGCAGCACTGCTCATTTCGCCCCCGTCCTCTGGCACGCGCGGGGTCGAGCTGCGCACCGGCGTGGTGGCGTGTCGACCGTACACTGGCCCCTGCCCATGCGGGTGCGCGCCAAGAAGCCCAACGTGACCCAGCGGGACCGGTCCAGTGCCGCGATGGTGCGCATATTTGCCACCATGTCCATGAGCATGAGAGTGTTGCTGGTGAGTTTGGTGGCGATGCATTGGCTGGTGATGAGGGTGCTGTCGAGCGGATGTAGGATGCACTGCACCAGGTCGCAAAGCGTGCCCAAGACTAATACTTGAGCTGTGACCATGCGTCACGGGATGCTGGCTGTCAGGCGCAGGCAGAATCGCAGTCATTGGCCCCCAACCAAGTCCGGCTCGTCGTGGCGAAGTACCAAGGCTAGAGGGATTGCTGAAGCTGACCGGCGGAGGAAAATCGGCGCCGTTGGACCCATACGGGCTGCGACGAAAGGCAGGCGTGGTCGGACGCGAAAGGCCAGGGAAATGAGGTGCGATTTGTGAACCCGCACTGCCGATATGAAGCTGACTTTGGCTGCCCGCCCGCGAACGTCCAGCTTGGTCGACGACACCGACGCTTCCCGCTCCAGACATGGCGCGCACAGAACGTGGTCGCCCATTTGCCGGCGTTGAGTTGCTGGCGGAGCGGCCATGTCCAAGTAGGGGAGGAAGCATGGTGATCTCCTTGCTGCGCTGGTGTCGATGCTCCGCACGTCGTCGCCTTCGCGCCTCCTCATCAGCAGAAAGTCTTGTGGCGTCCGTGGACGGAGTTCGCATGGACGCTGAAGATTCGTGGGTGCCACGAAGACGTTCGCCGCTACGACCCGAAGAGGCAGACGTAGCGAGGTCATCGAGCACGCCATCGTTGGCGCTGTGCGCGAGGTCCTTTGCAAAGGCTGGCACAGTACCTCGATGGGGTGCAGGTCGCGAGATGAGGCTTTGAGTAGGCGTGGGCTCTTCGCCTCTAGATTGAGCATCCAGACTTGAGAGAGCTGTCAAGCTGCCGACTGCAGGAGAGAGAAGCTCGCCGCGCTTATAACTGCTAGAGCTGCCTCGACGGGATGACAAGGCGGATTTCGCTCTTTGTGCTTCTGACGAAGGAACTGTCCCTTGGTCTATATCAGTCTCGAGACTGCTACTTGAGGGAGCGCCCCGGATGGTAGCCCAGGCCGAGCTAAGGGATTTCAGCCATCCGCTCGTCGAGGAGCTAGAGTTGCTGCTGCTTGAGGCTCGCCTAGCAGCGAGAGCTTGACTATGAGCCCGATCTGCTGACGTGAACCCATTGACGCCACTGTGGTGCTCAGCGTGTCCCTCGCGCAGGTCCGCCAGCGTTGGAGCAATCGCAGCAGTACGAGCAGCGGCTTGCTTGAGAGCGCTGAGTGCAGACGGTGTACCCAGACTACTGCTCAAGCGATCTTCCGACGCGTTCTTGTTCCTCTGAGTGGGGGCCTGCTTACCCTCGACCGCTGAGTCTGTGCTATCTGTGATTGTAAAAGCGCTATTTGAGTGCTCGGTGTCCCCGTCCGCGAGAGCGAGCGTAGAGGGGACATCGCGGCCACCGGCAGCTCGTCGACGCGAGATTGTCGTGCCTTGCAGTCTATGATTCAGCGTTGTCACGCTCGAGCCGAGTTCTGTAGCCGCGCCGTTGCTTGCTTGACTAGTGCCTAGAGCAACGGACGCGAATGGGCTATGCGCAAGCTCACTGGAGTGCTCGACCGAAGGTTGGGAGTGGTGCTGTCCGTGACGAAGAAGTCTCATCGGACTGGATTCAGCATACGAGCCGATGCCGTTGCCGTGGCGCTTGGTGTCCGAGCCATCGAGAGCGGTGCTCCAGCGAAGCGAATCGAGGCTATGTGTGGGGCTCCTACGCGCTACAATAGTAGTAGCGGGCGTGACAGTGCCGGTGGTAGCAGTCCCTGGAGCATCGTCAGAGGTGGTAGAGGGCCGACTGCGTGGATAGCTTGGCGCTGTGGTAACACGATTCGTTTGCTTATCAATAGTAGCGCTCATTGCTTCTGGATCGTCAGCAGTGCTGCGACTCCCGATTGCGTCAATGATGCTTGTCTGAGATGGAGAATAACGACGTGCGTCAAGTGGTCGCGCAGCGCTGGTCGGTACCATGGAGAAGTAGGAGTCGGCATGACCCTGCAGTCCGTGGGGCGTCATGATTCTTCCACTTTTTGTGCGCTGTTTCTGTCGACCAGGCTGACCATACATGTAGCCAGTGGAGGCGGATGCGGAACTTTCTGTAGTGTCACTGGCGCCGCTGGGCACTGTTCCACCACCCGAGCTCAGCTTGTCTAGGCATTCTGCGCATGTGCAACACTCGCTCTCTGGAGTGCAGACGTATCCGGCACTGTAAGCCATCATTGGAGCGCTGGCAAGACTAGAAGGTCGCGTAGGGAAAACCGTGGTGCCTTCGGCAGTGACCTCCGCTGCACCCCAGCCCGAAGTCGCCCATGCGTGGGGCGCGGAAGGCTCGTAAGGCTGCGACAGGTATTGCACCAGCTCGCCCAGACCAGAAGCACGGTCGGCATCGATAAGCCGACATCTCTCAGAGCAGAACAAGGCAGGTGGCGCCTTAGGTGCCTTCGACGCTTCCGCTTCCTGTTTGAGGATAGCGGGTGAGAGTGGCCCAAGTAACCCACCTTTTTTGGTGCGAGGGAGGCCAGTCGACGAGCTCGCTGGGGATGACTCGCCACTTCGCGCACTCTTGTCGCGACCGCTGTCCCCAGAGGTCGTGCTGACGTTTGAGCTCCGGCGCGATAGTGCTGGACTCCTCTTGCCTTCGCTCTCAACGCCCTTCGACTTTTCGTGCGCATTGAGCTTGGTAGTGGGCTTCAAGTCGCTAAGAGCATTCAGCCTGCTAGCAGCGCTACCTGTCCGTTTGTGCGTGCCCATGCCTGCACCGCCGCCGACAGCGTGTAGACGTCCGGCTGAGGATGTTCGCTTCACGTTGCTGAGACCGTTTGCGGTGCTTTTGGAGTCTTTGGCCGCCTTGGCGACTTCGCTGGACAAAGGCCGTCCTTTAATGGTGCCGTTCTTGCTCTTGAGGCCGGCTGTGTGATTGACATGGTCTTCGCGGTCAATTGTCGAAGATGTCGATGCGCTGCTGTTAGAGCGCGTCATTGCAGCAGTAGACTTGGATGCGTCGCCGTCGGGTACAGATGGCTTGGCGCCGACGCCGGCACCGGGCTCGATGAGACAATCGCAGGTCGCGCAAAAGTTTTGCGCCCAGAGTTCCTGGCCGTCCATCTCAAAGGCGAGGTCCTCATCGCTGTCGTCTGAAGACGAGGCATCGTCGTCTCCGGGTGCGGTGGTGGTGAATTGCGCTTGAGTCTTGCCTGTCGTGGCTACCTTTGACGATGAGGAGGAGGACTGTGGACGTCCAGGCGCCACCATGCCGTGATGCGCGGCTCTCTGCCTTTGGGCGAGAGTGGGCATCGTGACAAGCCCTATGTTGACTCTAACACCTCATACGAGGAGCAAGTGGTATGTCAGTAGGACACCCTGCCAGGAAGCGGTTGGTAAAGTCAGCACTGTAGCGTGTGAAGAAGCGAGGCACCGCAGGCGGGCACACTTACTTGCCCGTGGAACGAAGAGGTAGCCAATCCCCTTGATCGCGTGCCGAAGGGTCTCGAGTACCCTTTTCACGGACTGCAAAGTGGAAAAGGACAAGCCCCAGCTGCCTCGCGTCGCGACAGGAAGCTGGTGAAGCTCAGATGGGCTTTAGGAGACGTAGCAGGTTAGGGGGAGTCGGCGCTCGACTTGGTCGCTGCGGCTCGCTTCGGGTAATCGTTTAGAAGCACGCTAGGGTTGCCAACCGTAGCGAGATAAGCAAGCTAGACCGGAGGTTGCCCGAGTGCAAGACGAAGCAAATTTGTCTCGTAGAGGGGACCGATGTAGACAAGTGCCTGACTGAGAAGGTACGCGCGTTGGAGACTTGCGATGGATGGCAATAAATGGCGCAAGGATGGTGTCGGCGTCTAGTTGATGTGTGGGGGTTGGAAGAGAAACAAAGACGGATTTGTGGCGAATGAAGGGAGTATATAGGATGCTCGAGGTAGACTAGATGAGACTGCTTGCCACTCCTCTCTCGAACCCTCCAATGGTGTGTTGATGGGATCAAGAGCCAGCGCGAGAGCGATTGAAAGAGCTTCGACGCGTGGTGCTGCCCAGCCAAAGTGGTGCTATTCTGATAGACGCGCTGATGCGGCAGCATGCAAGCAGTCAGAGCAGCGCACAGCAGATTGCCGGTGGAGCCTGAAGAGCCGAAGAGGAGGCATACTGTTTGAATCCAATGGGTCTGCGCACGCCGAAAGGCGCAAGCACGGTGCGAGCGGGCTCATATGCAAAATTATTATTGACTCATAGCAGCTGCAGCTCATCAAATCGCGCGAGCAATTTTGACCGAATGCACGCACTCAAGAGACGAGTCGAAGAGATCCAAGCAAAATGCGCGCTTATGCTCATCTGATGCGCCCGACCTCTTTTGCGTTTGGACGCAGCGATCGGCGCACGGCGAGTGTGCTTGTTCGCGTTCGCGTGGCTCGCGTAGATCCGGTCGGTCAAATGGTCAAACACAGCCAGCAGCAACGCATCACATCGGTCTAATCAATCCCGTCGTGCCTGGACCGGAGCTGGAATTCCATGCATGCCGCTTCTGCAAAAGGCAGTGCACCCACCACATTGGGCGACGGCGGATGTATTCAAAGGCTGCATATGTACGCTTGTGGGTCCTCTTCTGCGTGACTGCGCTGCCGGGAACGGCATCCACCCCTCGCCCTCTG